GCCCAAATAAATGTTAGTCTCTAAGGTGCCACAAGTACTCCTCGTTCCTTAGCTTGTGATTAGCTTTGCCATGAGGTTCATTGCCTTGGACAGTGGCTTCCTGCTGTTTCCAGCTATCACTACACAAAATGATATTTAATTGCTCCATTCCTTTGGCCTGAAAGACAGGTGCTTAGCACAGCCATTGGCTTTAACCAGGTCTATGACTTTCTGTAGATCAAAGACACATTTGTTGAAAGCCACCAACACCTTCCAGGGTAACAACATGGACACAAAAGGAGACGCCCCAGGGAAGGCGCCCACGGGTAGCGACACAGGCAAGACGGACTCCACAGCTGCTGGGTGAGGGGCCGAGTGCCTAGAGACACCAAGCTTTGTGGGTCACCACAGCTGTCAGGGAGGTGTGGTGCAGAGCCGAGTGGGTTTAAGGCTTGGGGCAGCCGGACCCCACACACACAAAGGGGACGCAGGCCAAGCCCTGTTGGCTGCAGCAGGGTTAGGGCCTAGGAGGGGAGTGGCAGTGCTGGGCTCTTGTGCTAAGTGACCAGTCCCTGCCCCATAGAGCATCTCACTGGGGAGAGCACCCAATGGCAGAGTCTCCTCCCAACCAAACCAACACACAGCACGGCCCAGGCAGAGCCCAGCCTCACACTGACAGCAGGGAGCCATGGGCCACAGGCCAGTAGGGTCACACCTGTGTGGGACGCTGATGGGAGGATAAATCAGTAACTCTGAACAACTGCAGGGCAGAGCTGGGATAGAACCCAGAGGTCCTGGCTCCCAGCTGCCCCCCACTCTAATCACCAGACCTCACTGCCCTCCCCAAGCCAGGAAAGAACACAGGAGCCCTAGCCCCCAGGCCCCCCCCCGCCCCTAACCACCAGACCCCCCTCCCCAAGTTGGGAGAGAACCCAGGAGTCCTGGCTTAGAGCACCCCGCTTATCCCAGCGATAGAACCGAGGAGCCCTGCCTGCCCCCTGCTCTAACCACCAGACCAGACCCCACTCCCCTCCCAGAGCAGGGACACAACCCAGGAGTCCTGGCTCCCAGCGCTGGTGGCTCTAGGTCTCTGCCCTCCCCTGGCTCAGCCCAGCCCCAGACAATCACCGTCCTCCGCCAGAGGACCGGTGCCCAATCTCATCAGCATAATGGGAAGGGGGCGGGGCTGTGCCAATCAAAACACCCGCGACTGGTATCTGGTACGGAGGGGATCAGGTACCGAGGGTGATGCCCACTGCAGGGGGTGGGGCTAACAGGTAGTGGGGCGGGGCCTGTTGCAGGGGCAGGGTGATCAGGCAGTGAGGCCGGGGCTTGCTCCATGGGGCAGTAGGGGGCAGAAGAGGGTTGTGGGATGGTGTCCAAGTCGGGGCTGCCCCCCAGTCCCTGATTTCACTGTAATTCCCACCCCTTTGGGCCCCTCTGGCACTGGACCACTCCCCTCCCTGTCTGCACCCCCCCAAAGGTGCAGCCCCCCCACTGCCTGTGCCTCCCCACCATGGGGGTCAGGACTGGGGACTGTGGAGATGGGTGTGGTCAGAGGCTCAGAGGCCATGGGGATGGGCAGAGGCTGCAGGGGGAGAGGGGCTAGGGTCTCAGAGGCTGTGGGGATGGGCAGGGGATGCAGGGGAAGGGGATTGGGGGCTCAGAGGCTGTGGGGATGGGCAGGAGGAAGGATCAGTGGCCGTGGAGGTGGGTGGGGATCAGCGGCTGAGTGGATGGAGAGCTGGGGATGGGGGGGGGCTCTGGGTCCCCTGGAAGAGGCTAACCCACCCCCTCCCTCCAGCATGAACCCCTATGTGGGTTTGGTGAGCAGCCTGCGCGCTGCCTGGCTCACGGGGAAGACGCGCGCCGCTGAGCACCGGGTCTCCCAGCTGGAGGCGCTGGGCCGCTTCCTGGATGACAAGAAGCAGCCCATCCTGGATGCCATGGCCTCGGACATGCGCAAGGTGAGCCGGATGGGGCTGAGCCCAGAGCCCAGCGCAGGGCAAGGGGGGGCAGGTCTCCCTGTAGGGCAGGGTTGGGGGGGAATGGGAGTCTCCCTGGGGATCCCCCACAGCTCAGAGAGCAGGGGGCACACTGGGGTCTCATCTGCCCAGGTTCCTGGCCCACCCTCCTCCCCGCAGGAGTGGAGGACTGTGGGTCGTGCACTAAGTGAGGTGATTGCGGCGCGTGGTCCCCTCTCTCCTCCTCTGGGGGTGGGTCTGTGTCTGTGCAGGTGGGGGTGTTTTGGTAGGGTCTAGTTAAATGTCCTTACTGCCCAGGGTTCTGTCAACAAAGGCCAGTGGGAGCAGCGCCTGCCCTTGGACGGGGAAGGCTGGGACGACCCTTAGTTCCCGGGACAGTTTGTTACCTGGGCTGTGACCGGCCCCCAAGGAGACTCTGTCTCCTGCACAGATGAGATCTGCCTGGTGGCAGAGAGTCCCCCTGGCCCAAGGAGTGGAGCTGTTGACCCCGGTCCCCATCCCAGGGCTTTAGGCTCTGTTAGATGCACCGGGCCCAGGCCATGGAGCGCTGAGATGCGCCAGATCCAGCCCTGGGGTCTCTAGTCCATGGGGCGCCAGTGCCGGGCGAGAGGACAGGGTGAGGGGCTCCTGGCAGCCTGTGGCGCTGAGGAGACGCACTGTGGTGACCTGCACCTACTGGCGTTTCCTGTGGGCGGGACGGCTCTGTGCCCAGGCCTGTCGTGTTTCTGGGGGCCAGCTGGGAGGTGACAAAGGTGAGGAGATCCGAGGCCAGTGATCGCCCACCGAGATAGGTCAGCATCTCTCGGCTGCCCGGAGCTGGCAGAAGGCCTCATGCACCCAGGCGGCTGCGTGAGAGTCTGGAGTTGGTGAGGAGTCCAGGTGCCTCTGGCCCGGGGACCGCACTGACCCATGGGGGGACCCTTTGCCAGGGGAGATGGCACTGCGTCTGCCCCCACCCCAATGAGCTTCCCCCAGCTGGTCCCATCCCTGCCCCACACCACCCTCGGGGTCTGTAGTGGTGGATGGGCAGAGCTGTGTGTCCCAGGCCATGGTGGTATCATGGTCTGTGCCCCAGTCTTTAAACAGTTGCTCGGAGGAGCCCTTCAGTGCGCCAGCCCCCCCCCTCCCCCCCAGAGATCCCACTTCTCCTGGGCTGGCCACGTGGCCTCACTGCCTCCGAGATGGAGCCTCTGGGCTCCCGCCCTCCTGCTTCACACTGAGAGCTCTGCCTGGCGCCTCCTGCTCGGAGCCTTTTACCCCTCAGGGATCGATGCCCGTCTGTCAGGATCTGCGGCGACTCCAGGCAGCCCTTTCCAAACCAGGTAACCTGTGTCCCCTGGAATCCAGGGTCGGCAAGGCAGCAAAGTGTAAGCGGGGGGGAGGGGGGCGTAGGGTAGAGCTCGCACTGGTGGAAGCCAGAGAGCCAGCCCCTAACCCTGTAGCCCCTGTGCTATGCCCTGATCCTCTGAGCTCCAGCTCCACTCGCTCTCCCCTCATCTGTGCTTCTGTTTCCCAGCAGCAGTCGCAAGCCCAGGCCGTTAACGCTGTCCTCCCTGCTGCCGCCCTCAGGAGCCCAGCCTGCATCGGCCTCCCTGCTGCTCAGGGTTAAGGGCCCACTGGCTGGGCCTCCGTTATCTCCTCCGGGGCCTCCGTTCCCAGGGGCAGGCTCCGTTCAGTTCACCGGAGCAATTCTGCTCTCCAGCCAGCCGGCTATGGGAGTCAGGCACCTCCAGTGCCTGGCAGTAGGATGCACGGAGGCACGCAGCATCCGGATCGAAGTAGTACCGGAATGGGCATGGCCGGGGTGGGGGATGAAGCTAATGCTGCTCTGTGCCCCCAGCCCCCCTTCGAGGTGGAGCTCTCCGAGATTATCATGGTCAAGAACGAGGTCAACTACGCACTCAACAACCTGTCCAGCTGGATGAAGGACGAGAGCGTGGACAAGAGCCTGGTAAGGGGGAGACGCATCCTCGGGGCTGAGTGGGGACGTGCTCCCCCCAAGTGAAATGGGGGGAGAAACACACCCCCAGGCCTAGGCCTGTGGCGGCCGGAAACGAGCACCCAAGGCTGAGCCGGGACCTGCCCCCATGGCTGAGCCAGGGCTCCTGTCCCTACGGCCCAGTTCACTTCCCCGCCCCCCAGGACCTGGGACCCGCTCCCCCCAGCTCCTGACGCTGAGGCTTCCCCTTCAGGTGACTCAGCTGGACACGGCCTTCATCCGGAAGGAGCCCTATGGAGTGGTGCTGATCATCGGGCCCTGGAACTACCCCTTGCAGCTCATCCTGGTGCCCCTGGTCGGGGCCATCGCGGCCGGTGAGTCAGGGAGTAGGGACACTTCCCCCCCACAGCCCGGAACCTGCTCCAGGCAGAGCTCCCACCCCCAGCATGGTCCCTACTGTGATGGGTTCTCCCCGGGGTGCCACCTGGAACTGGGGTATCACTGAGCCGCCCGTGACCCACCAGCGTGGGCTCCCTCTCACACTGTGCTGCTGAGACAAACCACAAAGCCCTCCAGCCTTCACTTTCACCAGCATTCACACAGGTAGGGACACACCCAGCTGCAATGACACGCAGGTTCTTTAGAATCATAGAATATCAGGGTTGGAAGGGACCACAGGAGGTCATCTAGTCCCACCCCCTGCTCAAAGCAGGGCCAATCCCCAAATGGCCCCTCAAGGATTGAAGTCACAACCCCGGGTTTAGCAGGCCAATGCTCAAACCACTGAGCGATCCCTCCCGCTCTAACCACCAGCCTGGGACCACAGAGCAGTACCGTCCTGCCCTGGTCAAATCTCGCCAGTATATGGGTTTAATACCCATCCGCCTCTCCCTTAATGTGAAGAGAGCAATGCACAGTTGTAGTAACCAAGCAGAGATTTTCCCCAAGCACTCCAGTCGAAGTTCATGGGTTTAGATTAAAACAAAAACAAGCTTATTAACTACAAAAGATAGATTTTAAGTGATTATAAGGGCTAGCAAACAGATCAAAGCAGATTACCTAGTAAATACGGACTGCAAACTAAGCTTAGTACACTAAAGAGATTGGATATGAATTAGCAGATTCTCACCCTGAGAAATGATACAATCAGGTTGCAGATTCTTAAGGCACAACCTGCACTTGCTTTACAGCTTGGAATCCCCAGGTCTTTCAGACCCAGGCTAGAAATCCCTTTAGCCTGGGTCCAGCACTTCCCCCGGTTCAGTCTTTGTTCCTCGGGTGGTTCCAGGAGTCTTCTTGTGTGGGGAGTGAAGAACCCCAGATGATGTTACTCTCCTGCCTTATATAGCTTTAGCGTCTGGCGGGAACCCTTTGTTCCCGCAGCTTGGTTCTCAAACCAGTTTGTGGGAAAAATACTGACCTCCCAAGATGGAGTAGCACAGTCACATGTCCTTGTAGCGTCACAGCAGCCATTACTCACAGGCTGTCTGGAGCGTTCTCAGGGAGGCTCCCCAGGTGGGGGATAAGCTTCTCCTATGGTCTGTTGTTTTTCCTAATGGCCCATTGCCCTGAACAGGCCCTTCCCCACCCACTATCTAGACTAAAAGCATCTTGTCTAGTGGGCGTTACCCAGGTGTAATTACATTTGAAGTATAGCTACATAGTCAGGATTTATAACTTCAGATATATGCATAGAAATAGGATAATCATATTCAGCAAATCATAACCTTCCCAGTGACACCTAACATGACCCATCTTGCATAAAATGCATCATCATTATGCCATAATAATATCACTGTGAGAATATGGGGTGCAGTGTCACACCCACATGCTCTGGGGCAGGGCTCCCAACCCACAACCTCCCCCAGCCCCAAATGAGGCTCCTGGGGCGTTCCCCAGGGACACCTCCCTGCAGTGCCCCCCGGTGGTGGGTCGAGGTGCTGCGGCGAGGCCCCGGGGAGGGGAGGTGTCTGTGCTGCGCAGTGACATCCCGCCTACCCCGCCAGGGAACTGTGTCATCATCAAACCCTCCGAGATCAGCAGCAGCACCGAGAAGCTCGTGGCTGAGACGCTGCCCCGCTACCTGGACAAGGTAAGGAGCTGCCCCCTCCCCTGGCCCCACGCCCATCTCCTGTTCCCAAGGCGCTGAGCCACTTCTGCAGGCCTAGCACCATGCCCAGCCCCCTACCCCATGCCGAGCTGGGCCCCATGCCCCAGCCCCCCACACCCAGCTATCCTCTGTGCCTCCCCAATATCTCGACCACTGGGGTGGGGCAGAGTAAAGGGGGCAGGATGAGGATCACATCACACACCCTCCCCTCTCCAATTGCAGGACTGCTTTGCTGTGGTCACCGGGGGCCCTGCGGAGACCACCCAGCTGCTGGAGAACAAGTTCGACTACATCTTCTTCACTGGTATGTCACAAGTGACCCAGCCCCTTCCCCTCTCCATGGTCCCCTCCCCTTCCACTCCAAGGGGCACCGTACAGCCCCCCTACACACGTCCTCTGCCTTCCCTCTCCTAGGGGGTTGCCCCCAGAGACCATTGCCAGGGTGCACACCCAGGGCCTCGGCGTTGTCCTGACTGAGCCAGAAGGAAGCTCTCCGGGGCTGGGATCCCAGCTGAGTGACTCTCTGGGCCCTGAGGCCCCTGAAGATGGGGGCTGGGATTGACTGGAGCCCCCAGCCAGATGCAGGGTCCTTCCCCCTCCTGGGCGAGGCCGGGGCTGCCTGCATCCCAAGGCCCCTGGCGCCCCAGGCCGGGTGGAAGAGTGGCGGGTCTCTGCCCTGATGCTTCTTCCCGACCCCCTGCAGGCAGCCCCCAAGTGGGCAAGATCGTGATGGCAGCTGCGGCCAAGCACCTGACGCCGCTGACGCTGGAGCTGGGGGGCAAGAACCCCTGCTACGTGGCCGACGAGAGCAACCTGCAGAACGTGGCCAACCGGCTGGTCTGGGGGCGCTGCTTCAACGCGGGGCAGACCTGCATCGCGCCCGACTACGTGCTGTGCAGTGCGGAGACGCAGGAGAAGCTGCTGCCCGCCCTGCGCCACGCCATCACCGAGTTCTTCGGCCCCGAGCCCCGGGAGTCGCCCGACTTCGCCCGCATCATCAGTGACAAGCAGTTCCAGCGCATCCGGGCCCTGCTGGGCAGCGGGCGCGTGGCCATCGGGGGGCAGACGGACGAGAGGGAGCGCTACATCGGTGAGGGCCCCGCC